TTACTAGATCGACGCTCTACCAACTGAGCTACACGGTCAGGCGGATTTAAGACTGGAAATTATGAAATATATACTGAATGTCATAAACATACTCGTTTATATTAATTCAGCATCGAACAATACTAGTTCTGCAAGTGTTATGGTAAGTTGGGTAATTGTACACTCCGTAATATGTTAAGATGAAAATGTTCTAGAGTGTGTATTATATAATTTCCATACCCAGCGCAAGCAGAAAGATGTTGTCTGCCGCGGCTGGGTCTTTTCTGCTTTTCTGCTATGGAAATTATATAATTGTACGGAGTGTACAATTACCCAACTTAATATATATATATATATATATATATATATATATATATATATATATATATATATATATATATATATATATATATATATATATATATATATATACACATATATATATGTGTGTGTGTGTGTGTGTTGCAAAGTATTGTATTTCATTCTGTCTGAAGATGACTTTGAAATAAAGTCGAAAATTTACAGTCCCAACCTGCGTCTTGTTTTGAATCATATATTGTATTCTCAAGATGTCTTGTCTTTTCGGAATTTGTTTTTTATTTACTTTACTTTTTTAAATTGCGGGCTGCATGGTCATGGTTTTCAATACACTATAATTAGAGATAATACCATTTATGCACGTTTGAGAAGTAAGTTGTGGTACTCTCAAAAAAGGCACACTATACACTTCAGGTATTGTGTTTCTTCAAGCTTTAAATTGCGTCAAATTTAGGGATGTCATAGTTCTCTTAAAAACATGCATGGATATAGTGACTAGTGAGATCGTTCAAAATTACTGTCATATATAAATGTCAATTTACATTTAATTTTGACGTGTATGATTGTATATGTATATTATGTGCCATTCACCCAATATCGCATGATAAACGTAGAACACGACCAACCCAACTAGCCCAAAATTCGTTGTTCACTATTTGATAAATATCTTTTTATTTCTATACTAAATTCAGAGGGTGATTGTTAAATCCTTATCTCTGAATTTTTAAATATCATCGAATAGAGTAGATAATTTTATACTTATCTTCAGCGATCATACCTAGGATATGGAACATGGAACACAGAAAAATGGCGGAGCAAGCGATTTCCAATCTTGGGAACAGTAGTTGATATATGTGGATTATAAGTAGTAATATAGTTAACATCTTGTACTTCACGCCACTGGTAGGTCTCTGGGTCGAATACACCGCCATGATCAATCAGCTGTCGGATAAGCTCTGTCGATGATTGAATACCACAGTCATTCGCCTAGAAATGAAAAGGAAATAAACAAAATCTGACCATACAGATTTTAGGTTTTTCCTCACATATTTCACAATTCCAAAATGCTAACTGCACAAAATAAATTGAGAATCGATGACAATAAGTTACCTACAGTACAGGCCCGAGTTATGAATGTTCAGATGAGGGTACTGATATTCCCATAAAACAAATTCATAGATACAGATATTGCACAGCACACTCCCCACCAGAGTTTTTCAGTGACTGGTTACATTAGAACCGGGACTGGCGTGTAAGCAGACCGAGGTAGACTGTGAGCTTACAAATGGCACTTTAAGCAGCCGCTATTAGTCCGTACCTCGTTGGTGATCTGCCCCCTGACTTCACCGACCTTTGTCAACTTTCCCTGTGGGAGGAAACCGGAGTACCCGGAGAAAACCCACGACTTTCGGCAGAGCGTTGACTTTTACTCTTTTCACACGAGGACTGGGTTCGAGTCGCATTGAGAAGTTCTCACTGAGATTTGAACCTGCGACCTTAAGGTGGAGTAATACGGGCAACAAATTTGCTGCAACTTGCAACAAAATCTAGTTTCTACGCATGTTAATTGAAAATGTTTACATCATAAAGTACAAATCACGAGGCAACATGTGTCAACATTTCTACTTAACATACGTTGAAATCCGATTTTGTTGCAAGTTGCAGCAATTTTGTTGTTCGTATTACTCCAGCTTTAGAAGTGAGAGGCAAGTGCGCTAACCACTTCGCCATAACTCATCTACTCGTGTAAACAGGCCATATAGTTCACATGCGAGTACACCTGATCGGAGGCAACATGTCCGTTTCCAGTATACTTCTCCAGCGAAAGTATAAATATTGTAAAAAAGGTTCACACTACCCACAATTATGACATGTGAGTGCTACAATCAATAATAGGGTAAGCTTCAGGGTAAGGTTTTGGATTGTTTGAAGTGCCTGCATGGTTGCTGATTCTTTCACGTTTTAACGATCTGAAAACAAGCCCTTTAGCAACGAAGATCAACTGCTCCCTTTCCCGAGCGCTAGTGATGTCGACGTTATCATATACCTTGTTAAAGCTTGAGCCCGCTTGTTAAAATTTCATGTTGACTTGGGGGCTGAGCCCCCCCCCCCCCATATTTTTTGCACGTTGCATAATCTCAACAGTAAACGAGAATGTTGCATTTCATCTTCAGTCATCATTTAACACGATAATGATTTTTGTAATCGTTACCTAATCGCGTTGTTCATGCGCCGTAGCAAATTGGCTGTTGAAGTACCAATCCTGTTTTGTCTGAATTAAATTAGCGTTTTCAGGTTTGTTGATTTTATATACGGCTAATACAGCTGCTATTAAAGAGCTTTCCCGAAGATATTTCAAAATATATGTTACAGTAAATAGGCTGTTAGCAATATGGAAAATTTAGACCAGGAATCAAAGTCAGTCCCAGACAGAAATTTTCGTATTTTCTAAACCCTGCTTTCCCACTGGGCAAAATAGACCATTTGCATTATAGACTAAATTTTGATCTAGACAAAAATTTCATCACAGCTTGAAAGAGCATCACAAAATTAGTAATATTCCAAAGGTTCGTTGCGAAATGTTGTAAAATGCGGATAATATAGCCTTGCGAAATTTGCAATTTTCAGTCATGTTGTATTACAAACGGGAAATTGATGCCCCAACACCCGATTGGGCTGTCAATTTCCCGTGCGTAATACAAAATGACTAAAAAACGGGAAATTTCGCATGGCTATATTATCCGCATTTTACAACATTTCGCAACGAAACTTTGGAATATTACTAATTTTGTGATGCTCTTTCAAGCTGTGATAAAATTTTTGTCGAGATCAAAATTTAGTCTATAATGCAAATGGTCCATTGCTCGGAGGAAGGGAAGTTCACCGCGTCCTATTTTTTCACGGCAAATTTTTTTTCGCTTTGAATGTAGTTTTCGCCTGAAGGTACACCACCGGCTTTACATCTTCAAAAAGTAGTACAGAAACTTTGAATTCCATACCCTTTTGAGACGCTCAGCATATTTTATGTTACTAACGGCAATTGTTTTTAATAAGAATAATTTTAGAATAACCCCCAACAAAATTTAGAGAGCCCTCTTTGTTAACATTCCACGACTACACCACTGATACCTTGCTAAGATTAAGATCGTCCACCAAACAGATCAACTTCTTATTCCCTTTAGGTATATATGTTCTACCATGTTTCCACTCCAAACAATTATTGATATTCCGCCATAGTGTTCTTGATGAAGTAAACTGATTACAGTACACACTCACAGAATGAAATTCAGCCACATCATCATCCTGATTGTTCAATTTGTCACGAACAATTGATGTCTTACCGCAACCTTGTTCACCAACAAACATCACTGGTCTGCCTGTTTCACTTAATAGACCAACTAAGTGAGAGAATCCCTGAAACCATCAAAAACATAAATGTCACATATACCTGAACGTTACACAATTATATTCATCTCTATTTATTTATGCACCTGGTGGCATTACATTCCTACTGAGTAGTTCAGTATATGTATCTAGCAAAGACTTTCAAAGATGGAAGGCAGCAAAATTAGGTTGCCAACATATGTTCGGCCCTTTTCTGCAAAGCCACCAAAACACATTCAATTCCCGGCGTTTGGTTTTTGTTATTATGACATGCAAAAGTGTTAACATACCTCATTATAAACAGTATGAACGTAGGCATTATGTGGTATGCCTTCTCCGTGCGGCATTGCGTAAGGTTGTAACGCCTCGTTCCAAGAGCAAAACTCGTGAGTGTCTGGAGAGACAAAATAATTCCAAACCTAAATAATAAAATTAAGTAGCTATCAATTGATTTCGAGTTTAAATTATTGCCCCTCCCCTCCATTCCGCTCTCTACGAGGAGTCTACACAGAAGTGTTTCTACATATCCTAGGCGTATTGCATTACCGTTATCACCAAGCATAAATTAGGCAAATAATTAAATTGAGTTTGACATTTAATTGCTATTTTACTGCCTCGTGAAAGACTGGAAATCATAACGATTTTTAATGCGGTACGAAAGGGCGTAACTATACTGGGGGAGAGGGGTCAACGGCTCCTTTTCTGACCTCGCCCTTTCGTGGAATCCACTCCCACCTAGTGCTTGTACGCAAGTTACGCCCCTGGAAGTACGTAATGACTCACATCGTTAAAGCGGTACCTACGATTACGATTATCATTTCAATACAGCGCAAATTTACTTTATTTATATTACTTTATTTTTACAACAATTATGATATTACTTTCTTTTAAGGTAATTCCGCAGTTTTGCATTGCGCACTTTTACTGCGCACATCTTATAACTTATAATTTCATCCATTATACGTACCGTTTTAAAAAAAATCATTTTATGACAATTTTATGTTACTTCAAAACATCTTTGGTTACATTCGTGCAAAGAATTACGTTAAAATCAATGTTTTCAAAAAAGGCTTACAAAAGTGTAGCTAGGGTTCCGGTGTCTGTAGTATATTTATTTACTTGTATTTCACGTTTTAATGATAATTTATTTCTTTAATGCATTTTACATTTCATATCCAAAATTAAAAGAAAAGTCATTTCTAGATCTTGAAAAAAAATCCTTTATCAATGCATGTTCTCAAAGAAAGATATGTAAAAAAATGTGGAAAAGACATTTGTGGATCAGAATTGTACACGTTAGTAGTTTCATTTTGCTCAAAACACAATATTTTTTCAAAAATAATTAGAAGATAGGTTTACTAAAGCAAAATCCGCGCTAAAAACGTCAATAAATATCGAGCTGTTGTGATTTTGCTGTTACTCGTAATGAGCGTCAAGATGGCGCCATATTGGGGTAAAGGTGGTATATTGTGATTGTCATATCTTCTTAACGAGTTCGCTGACCCCGACTTTTTTGTGTGATTTTAATTTAAGTATATCATAAACTCCATGCCTGGGAAGTTTCAGCACATTCTCATTTCGGGAACAATTACTGCGGAATTACCTTAACTGTGTTTATCCTAACCCACCCTGTCAACTTTCCCTGTGGGAGGAAACCGGAGCACCCGGAGAAAACCCACGACTTTCGGCAGAACTCTTTTCACATGAGTCCGTAGCGAGAATCGAACCCACGAACTCAGAGGTGAAAGGCGCTTGGTTTGACGACTGCGCCACCGAAGCCCCAACTAATAACCGTAAAACATGTAAATTTATGATACGGCGCAGTGCAAAACTCTACAATAGCTTCAACAGTAATACTACTCAACGAAAATTATGGTCGTAGTATGTACAAACCTCTCCATTTCCTGGAAGCATTATAAAATCTTTCCATTGATTTTTCCACCATTGACTGAAATGGACGCGATGACTTTCTATCAAAGTACCACCAAAAGCCCAAATTGCGGCAAAATTGAAATAGTTCTCGTACTCAACTGACATTAAATCTGGATGATGGGAAACTGAGGCCTACGATATGGAGATAGAGATAAATTGCTAATATTAATGACTTGTCTGAAATTTCAGGGAGGGCATCACGAACAAATATAAGTGAATGTGATATTTGCTGTGTTGGTGTAATGTATACTCAGGTGAATAAGATGCTGTGTGATGTTACTCTGAGTGTATATCCCACCGTGGCAAGGCATATTTTTCAAGCCCGCCCGGTGTGGATATACACTCAGAGTAACATCACACAGCATAAGTGAATGTGTTCTAATTTAAAAACACATATAAGTGAATGTGTTCTAATTTAACTAAAACTGCATTTACCTCAACCAAAGCAATCAACGTCTCAACCATATTTATCTCTGAGATAAACACGGCATGTTCTAAAGCTTTATACTTTGTCCTGGTAGGTGCGGCACCAGGTCGCGGTGGTACGGACGTACTAGCAGAGAGAAATGCTAAGGTTGGCCCAATATAACGATCGCATAAGGAGCGAAGTAGTTCTGCTTCACGTTCTTGTTTCTTACTGATCCATCTGTTGATCAATAGTTGCCAGCCGACATCCTCCTTGGTCATGCACAGCAAACCAATTTGGCACACCGTTGCTGGATTCACGTGCTTCAAGTCTTCAATCTGTATTAGAAAGTTTGGTAAATGACTGAACAGATATCCCTATAAGTTTACTGTGGGTTTAGCAAGAAATACAATTCTGAGTTTGGTCCAGATCGATAGGAAAATAAAGAAATACTAATAATTAAATACGGGTCTGTTATGTTTACTGTCGGTTTAATATAAAAATACAGATCGCCCATTCCCATTCAATCAAACAATAGACCTCTTTGATGATGACGTCACATAATTACAGCTACAAGAATAAAAGCACTTATTGAGTAATAAGCTTGAAAAACAGATACAATAATATTGTGTTTTGAGTAAAAAAATGGTAATATGATCTTCAACATCTCACTCACACATATTTTTTTACTTAAAAAACCATGCATGCATGTGATCCGTTTTTCAGGTTATTAACCTATACGTGCTTTAATTATGGCGATATGGCTAAATAATGGTAAATTGCATGAAAACGTCTCCAAATATTTCTCTATTCACGATTCTGTAAATTGGTGTTTTTAACAAGATCGTGAAAATTTATTTGGCCGTACGTGAAAAAACATTGACATTTAGTTATATTAGCACGGCTCTTAGCCAATCAGAGTTCAGAATTTACAAATGCTATATTAAAATAAAAGTTAACAACGAAAAATTTACCTCCCAGATGATCTCAAGGGTAGCAGGAATTCTAATCCTCTCACCACTTTGAAATACTACAGTACCATTGTTCTGAATCATCGTATCAAATGCTTCGCCCTGAACTGAGTCGATCTGAATAGAAAACAATCAATAGTCAAGCAAGATGACAACTACAGAAACTAAAACAAAACTACCCCAATTTGGGTACATGGATTTATTTGAGACAACATAGGATACAATATTCATGGTCTATATTTCGGCATTACAGAACTTTTGTGATCCCAATGTGTACATTATAAATGCTATGAGTATATTGAATAAGTACAAACTATAAAAGAACGTTGTGTTAAGGCAATTTTTCCAAACGTTAGTTTCATACATGTTTTGCCTGCGCTGTTGCGCAGACAGTCCGTAAAAACAGTCTCTAAAGCCAGAAAATAAAAATTACACTCAATAACGGTTGGGAAATTTGTCTTTACAGAATATTTCCTCTTACATTTAATACTACATGCAAGGTTGTGAATACTGCTTTTCTTTTATTATACCTAATTGTATGTTGGACCTTTTATATCTATACTTGCAAAACCAAAATATCACATCATATAATTTTAATTTTCTCATTTTCTGTGCTTCGATAAAAGAGTTCAACTATGTTAGGTGGGCAGAAAAAGACTTGTTTTGTATAAAATATAATTTAGTTAGATGTCTAATAATCCAGTAGCTTAAAAAAACAATCCTGGAACCAATATTGCCGATTACTAAACTGACTTACAATTCCATCCAGATGAATCCATTTGGCAAATGGTGTTGGCTTAACTCCTGAAAATAGTTCACTTGTCTTCAACTGTTGAGCATGTTTCCGTAATATACGAGGTACGAGTCCATCCTTCCATTCACTGCAAGTAGTATATTAGAAATTATTAGTGTCCTACATTACATGACATTGCATTGCCATAAATTGTCAGCGAGAGGTCATGATCTTTCGCGAGAGTCAACCAAAAGCAAATTCAGGGGAAATCACTTTTTAATCGCAGAATACAACAGTTATATCACATTATGTTACAACTATACCAATTATAATAAGTCAATCAAGAACATCCTGGTGAGATTAATGTATTTTCTTATGTTCCTCAGAAAAAGAATTTATATAGTTGACCAAACAATAGCCTCCTCCGCAGGCATGTCTATTGGGGGAGAACTTTGGTTTAAAAAAAACTAGTTACTAAGAGGCCTAAAACTGCCTGACCAAAAAGAAAGTGCATGCAGCGGTGCCCACGGTCGTGAACTTGAATTTTAACATTGATGGCATTCCAATATCTATATGATGCCAAAATTCCGTGCAAGATGTAAAAATGCCCTGAGATGTTTTAAAAAAATTCCTGGCAGCGGACGTTTTCCAGCTATGGTAAATGACTATTTAAACCTGTCCCTAATTGTAAATTCTGAACGCTGATTGGCTAAGACCCACGTTGATATAACTCAATGTCAACACCGAAAATTTCTTTATATTTCTTCGTGCTATATTATAAAAAAAATATAAAACATTTTTCCGTATTGATATACACAGTTATATCAACACTCGTGGAAATTGGGAAAACTCGAAATTGTGTGAAAACACTCCGCCCTTCGGGTATCGTGTTTCCACACAATTTCTCGTTTTTCCACTTTCCACTCGTGTTGATATAACTGTATATCCACACGCAAAAAGTTTTATATTTGTTAAGCATAAAATACAGAACGTCTGTATTAGAATTATTTTAGTTGATATCATAACAAGGTAGCAATTTTGAATTATCACCTCGTATTAGAATCGTAATATCCCATGAGTTCAAAGGACTCGAGAGCTCCAGTGCATATGATGTCTCTGCGTAAAATCCGTCCCATTTCTCTGTGAGCTGTAGCGACGGTTTTGATGCATTCTGTCTTGCCACTACCAAAGGGTCCTACTACGGCGACCTTTCAAAACAAAATGGAACTATAAATTACAGGCAATAACATTATCATACGCTGAAGCAATTACAGGTTACTGATTGGCTAATAATAATATTAAAGGCTAAAGCTAAATATGACAAGCAGGACACTATCAGTTCGGAAATTCAGGCCAAACCGTCTCATATAAGCACAGAGTTCCTAAAACATATTCTGCCTCACCCTGAACGTGTTTTAATGGCAACATAGCCCGCCTAAAATGCACACTATAGTCAGTATCAACATATAGACATATCAACATATAGACATTTTGACATATTGTATAAGCAAAGGTTTGCAGTGCAAAAAGTTAGGTTAGGGAGCATAAGCTTCAGGTTATAGGCAGGAATGCCTAATTTCTAATTTTCATTTCTCTTTGTTTCCTCGCAATTTCTTACTCACATCTACAAAATTAATTTAACACTATATTTTTTAAACACAACCGTTTGCCTAAAGAATTTTACGTTTGACGATTTAACGGTGAAGCTGAAACTCCCTTTGATGGAGTCTTTAAATTACAATTTCACACTGTACTTAATGTGTTTATATGGGATAATGCTAAAATAATCACAGAATATTTTATAGCATAAACCAATTAGTTTAATGATATCCTTGCATGGGCTCTTGGGTCCCATCGAATTGACAGTGAGATCGAACCTTTTCACGCAGAAAATTCAATAAACATACTGTTTTATGCGTAGCAACAAGTTGAGCCAACTGAGCCACTTTAGCTTCAAATGCGACTCCTGGTTGTAGACCCAGCGTTGTCATAGCCACACTGATTGCCGAAGGTTCATCTTCCATCACTGAAGCAAAATGAAATGTTACAGAAATGCTACAGAAGCATGTATCAGTGTGAAGCAGGATGTTACAATGAAACAATGGAATCATCTGCGTGGGCAATTAGGTACGGCATGGCTTCGATTGGTCTAGTATGATTTGGCTGGCTTGTATGGGCAGATTTATCATATTTATTAAGAACTTTGATCTTACACCACACCAACGTCTCTTGCTTTTCTAGAATAATGGAGGAATGGAAATAATCAGAATTACCTTCTTCGTGACTTGATGGTACGGATAGCTGAGCCGGTTTGGTAGAAACCTGTTCAGACTCGTTTGAAACAGAGGTTTGTTGCTGGATACCATTCTGGAATATCGTTTCGGCATTTGCAGCTTCAAACACATCAACGATCAGGGTGGCAAAGATAACAGCGTCTGACAAGGATAATCCTGGGACGAATGTATCCCCAATAGCTTCAACAAGTGCACTCTCTTCAAGCTGCTGTAATCGAGAGGCGTCGATCACGGCCGGTGTCTGTTTTGCCGATCCCCCAGACTGACTCTCTGAAGCTACAATTGAAAAAAGATGTCGTACTCAGTGATGCATTCTCATCAAATTAATTAAAATACTGTATATACGTAAAACACAACCCTGCTGAAATTGCATGTGTAGCTTACGCTAATTGGCTGATTAAACTAATCAGCCAATTAGTGAAATAAAAACTTGGCCAATGCCAGGCGACTACAGCTAGGCATATTTCGGTTGCTGATTATTGATTTGGAATGAATGCAATGGGAAACCTCGCTCAATCTGGAAACTGTAAAGCTGAACGAACCTCTCGTAGCGCATACACCTTTTGAGCGGACACAAAACACCGACCCCAAATTATCATTGTCATTATTAAGCACACAGTTTTAAGCGTACATTTCTGGCAGGTACGAAATGTGTTGGTCTTACTGTAAACTGTATGTTGCCAAAACTAGGTAAATAATGAAATCAACTTCAATATGCGTATTAATTCTAAAACGAATGCGACATTCCGATTTGAAGATTTAGCATCACACTACCGTCCCCTATATCTATCATACATCAACACAACATTGTTTAGATACAATTTTAATACAAACCTTGACCATCTTCCGCCACCTGAACTTCCCCAGCAGAGCCCGGAATTTCCAGCACTTCTGCATCACCACCCACATGGTTGATTTCAGAAAATCCGTTCTCGTATAAATTATTTGCAGCATCATTAATGATCTTCTTTACACACAATATACTCCAGCCGGAACCTTTTGCCATGCATGCTGGCAGATTTTGAAGCTGTCTGTTCACGCCACCAAAGGACGGAATAAACGTCTCGCATAGACCCTGAAGTCTAAACATCGCCTCAGAAAGCTCCAGAGCCGTGGTAAATCCGTTAGCTACAAGAAATACTTCAGATATGATGCGAGTATCGGGGCGTGTAAACGACACAGAACGCAACCTTTTCACAAGGTCACTCGGCAGCTCCGACAAAGCCGATGGTACAGATGAAAAATAATCAAATGACCGTTTAAATGGGTCGTTTGGTGATCCAGTAGGAGTCATTGTAGCAAAACAAGCAGCAGTCGGTATTAAGTTAACATCTTCATTCTCAACAAGTACAGAGGACTTTTGTACATTTAGACTGTCCATCACTCTTTGGATAAGCTGAACAACCACTGATAATATGCTCTTGTCCATAACATTTATCTTTCCAAAACAAATCCAAGCTCCTAGGAAGAAAATAATTATTATCTCTCAACGTATTGGAAGACGTGTGTTGGTAGTAATAAACTGCAAGGTTTTTTTGTAGTTATAGAAACTAACGGATAAATATATAAGGGTAATACCGATGCTACAAGATAGTTGGGAAATTAGCATGGAAGAAATTAATAGGGAAGAATTAAACTAAAACCGCTGAAACCTTTCTGCTTTAAGCATGACCAAACAGCGACATATTATTTTCAATCTGCAAGACTACAAAAACTCTTCAACATTTTATATCGAGTGAGATACCCAAAATCCTGATACTTTACCCATTAATCTTCCACCGGCATTACCTTAATATTATATACATGAACTTGTGGTTAAGGCTCGACAACTGCACTCTGTAGCTTAATTGGTTTTAGTGCTGCACGGGAGTCGCAGAGCTGCCAGCAACCTATTGTCGCCGGGCCGACGGCGCGAAGCGCCGTGCGAGGGTACTAATTCCCTCCGGCTATTTACACCCGGGGAAATGAAAGCATTAGCGAAGTCTAAAGTTCACCAATGATCGCGGGCGTGGCTCACTGTGCGTGGGTGGTCATCCTCACTGATCTCAAAAATATGGCGGACTGTCATGAATAGCGAACACTGTTATTGGTCCAATTTAAAGTTTGTATTATAACGACTGCATGACGACAGCGAAAAAGCAAACATTTCTTGATTTGATGATTGATAAATTTCTTGCAAATATATTTCATTTTTTGCTCGCATTTTTGCAAGATTTTGTAAATTTCAAGAAAGGGCGAAAGAATCGGCTAAAAGAAGGGAGCCGACGTTAACGAAGGTAACTTTGTTTTAACATTGATTTTATAATTATAATTGCTTTAAAACCCGACGGCCTTTGCGTATATGAAACAACTACACAAGACAGCATATAATTTCAGTGTATCTTTAGTATTGATTCCCTTTTCTTATTATATTGAATTTTTTAAATAAAAAAGAAAGCAAAGTTATTTGCATGCGAGAATTTGAAATCATTTTATTGCAAACTCAAAGTTTATCGATAAAGCCATTTAATTAAAGGCAGTTTAGTTTTATAAAGAACACTTTAAAACGTTTTGCGAAGCGTTTGTGGTTGAATTTTACCTTAAATTGAAGCTTATATTACGTATAATATCATACCTAACATATATATATGTTGGGAAATTGATAATTTTGTAATTAAAAGTGATATTTTTAGGCGATTTTTCATTTGTAAGAATATTCTTAAAAAATTATCGTGTTACCATGACAACTAATTTAGATACTTCATGTTCGGAAAATACAATGGTTTTGTCAGCAAGGCTAGGGTTTTTGCATGCATGTATTTTCTAGTATATACTTAGTTACATTTTTCGCAGCTGCTCCTGATTAGGCTCATCAACTCTCATCTTCGTTTGACCGAGACATTAATTTGGGTCGTTCATTAAAAATTCTGTTCTTTCATCCGACCTGTCTCGATGAACAGCAATTTTGCATTTGGCTAATATCAGGATTCTGGGCATCTCACTCGACATTACCAAATGTTGGAGGGTTTTTGTAGATGGAAATTTCGAGTGTAAATGTAAGAGTTGCAACTCTCGCTCGTGTTTGATCGCCAATTCTCATTGACTCTCACGTACTCTCATCAACTTTGAACTGGTTCAAAATCTGAACTGATTTTCCAAGATTTAATTGGGCGTAAAGTTACAAAATTGTCGTACTTACCTGTCAAGGCCAATCCCTTAAACACCCCAGTTAAGAACATTTGATCCATCGTCGTCGCACATGTAAATGGGTAAAACGGCTGTCCACACACTCGCGCAAAATCGCGGATAGTTTCATTCTTGCCAGAACCCTGCGTAGAAAGGAAAGAAAAAAGCTCATGGTCGTATAAGAGTATGTGTTCGGCACAGAGGAAGAGATACTACTCTGAAAGATCATTAATTTATTACGAAAAGAATCCGCGTTCACACATATCTCAATCGTCTACGATCTTAACACGAATACGCTCAGACGTTGCGAAAACACTAATGAACAAATAAATATGACTATGAGATAAAATACGATAAATTCTACTGTGTAATTTAGCAGAATAAAACCTTTATGTCACTCATTGGACCATCATTACACAAATTATACAAATATATTTCGTTTTCAACCTTAATTACCGAGGTTTTTATTTTATCTTGTGGCATGTAGTCGACAAATAAGTTGAAATTGGTTGAAGGCATTAATTAACTCACCGACGGACCAACGCACATTCCCACCATGTGACACTTAACTGCTTGTGCCAAACTGACGAAACATTTGTCTGTCGTGGGCGTGAGTACCAGTCTGGGACAAGCACCTTGATACTCCATACCGTATGAAAAACATGCATCTAAGATCTTCACCGACAGGGAATCGTCTTCTTTCGAGTACTCGTACTTCACCTGAGAAGACCACTCGAACGACTGTGTAAGTCCTGTAAATCCCTTGGACAATAAACTCAGAAGTTTTTGAATAACGTCTCGCTTATGCACAAGTAATGTTATAAGATTAACCAATTTCTGATATTGATAAGCAAGACTAGCTTTATCGCTGTTGCCGTTGTGGTAAGGTGTTCCACCCTGGGTTATTGGTCTTTGACTACCATCTGCTGAATACAAAGACCGAATTTCACCTCTTGTAGATGGACGACTACCTCGACCACGAGCGCTTAAACTACTTTTGTTTATCACAGTACTCTTTGCAGGGATTGAGGTAACATCACTTGTTTTTAACATACGACTCGTTGCTGCAATCGTCGCTTTAATTTTCTTTGATAGTTCTTTTAAAGAGTTCCATTGTTCCTGGTCAGTTTCTGTTAAACAGCGTTCGATGTTTGAATTGAGATCAACATGAGTAACTAGCAGCACAATTTCAGCAGCATTCTCAAGCATCCATGTTTTTTCAATGTCACCATCAGCGCTGTTTAACGACTGCCAATATGTATCACCAAATTTGTTGATAACATTCGTCAACTGCCCATTCAAAACGGTCCTCAGCGATTTCTCCACTTCTTGCAACCAATTTTCGATAGTACTGTCGCATACAATGGCCTGAGAAGTCAAGAATTATTATTATTAAGTAAACAATGGATATCACTCGGGGTTTTTCAAACATCAATCATAGAAGACTAGACGAAGCTATACAAGGGTAGTAGCTAAAGGGGTAGTAAATGAAGGAGACTTCGAAACGAAGCCACTGGGGAAAAAGAAAAATATATATTATAATCTATGTATGTACATTCACATAAATCAATTTTGTAAAATTTTTGTAAGAATGATGTCCAGTGGGCCAGTGTAATTGCATTTAATGTGTTTCTAGTTCCATTACCTCTGGAAAATCAACAGGTTCGTCCATTTTGCTAACCACACCCAAGACGTGATAGGCTGACAGGTTCTCCTCAATAACAGTCTTATACTGAAGCTCAACGATGTTCTCGTAAACTTTGGATATATATGGATTGACAAGTGCTGGGTGATGACCTACATGATCGTTATAGGAAGAAATGTATTTAAAAGTTATGAATAATTGATATTTCGCATAATGGATAGCAATGTCAGTTCGGTCTAAACTGTATTCTACAAAGATTACATACATACATAACATTTATTTAGACACGCTGGCACCAACAACTTTATGGGGGGCTATACAAAATACAGGCAATAAAGACAAAACAATATTACATGCACTACAGACATAACAATTTATATATTCAATTTATTAAATAATTATAATTATGGTACAAAACAATATTTTGAAAAAGGAGGGCTTCAAAATTGTGCAAGCTTTTTAAACAGACTTATTATTATATAGAAGGTATTGGCCAAAAACTGTATTCCAGGAAGGAAACCGCGGTCCTCATGAAAAAACCAGAGGTGTTTAGGACGAAATTGTGATAATGGAACTGTATATTACAGGAATTAAATCCAAAGAGCGGAAGCGAAATATACTGTACATGCAGGCTAATCACAGGGGTTAAAAAATAGGAGTACGGACGTATATGATTGTACCCACAAGTGTTTGGCAAAACTGGTCCCAGAGTTTCATACTAAAACAAGTCCATTCCGAACATTTCAGGTTGTGAAAATTGCACTTGAAATAAGGCTCGTCTTCTCATACTTTTTATTTCCTAAATACAGGAAATAAAAACAACCACAGTTTATAGAACTGCGACACAACAGAGAACATGGATAAAACTAGTTTAGAAAATCGTACGCTGACATCAATGAAACGGACGCCAACCTCGTTGTGGAATTAACGTACGACCTCGTACGACATTCCTAGAGCATTTCTAACCCCTGTAATCGCTGTGATACCAACATCCATGCACGGATTTATACATTGTTCATATAGCATAAACATACACTTTAGAAGGTCAACAAAAGTAATTATACAGTATGTATGTGTCTGCATATTCACGGAAAGTGTGATTTTTTTTGTATAATAAAGTAGTCATTCAGAGAAGAATAGAATTCCTTTTCAATTCCTAATTATTTTTCTATCAAATTGCAACATTTTAACAATGCTGAATGAAAGATTTATGACATACTTGGGTGGGGCCTCCATATACAGCCCTTATACAAGTAAATTAAACGTACCGCTACAAACAACATGAAGAACATCTTCAGTAGAGAGGAAATAGAACCTTGGGAATTTTTGCTGTCTTCTATCCAGAAGAGCAAGCAGTGATTTCCAACACTGCTGTAAGTTGCTTTGCATCTTTTCTAGTTTCGCTTGTATGTCTACATCAAAATAGAGAACAATGATTGCAAACTTTAATCCCCGAGCCGAGCGCCGTGCGAGGGTACTAATTCCCCCCGGCTATTTACACCCGGGGAAACGAAAGCATTAGCGAAGTCTAAAGTTCATCAAATATCGCGGGCGTGGGTCACTGTGCGTGGGTGGTCATCCTCACTGATCTCAAAAATATGGCGGGCTGTCATGAATAGCGAACACTGTGATTGGTCCAATTTAAAGTTTGCATTATAACGACTGCATGACGACAGCGAAATAGCAAACATTTCTTGATTTGATGATTGATAAATTTCTTGCAAATATATTTCATTGTTGCTCGCATTTTTGCAAGATTTTGTAAATTTCAAGAAAGAAAGGGCGAAAGAATCGGTTAAAAGAAGAGAGCCGACGTTAACGAAGCTAAGTTTGTTTTAAATATTGATTTTATACTGAATTGCTTTAAAACCCGACGGCCTTTGCGTATATGAAACAACTAAACAAGACAGCATATAATTTCATTGTATCTTTAATATTGATTCCCTTTTTTATTATATTGATTTTTTAAATAAATAAAAAAGAAAGCAAAGTTATTTGCATGCGAGAATTTGAAATAATTTTATTGCAAACTCAAAGTTTATCGATAAAGCCATTCAATTAAAGGCAGTTTTATAGTTTTATAAAGAACACTTTAAAACGTTTTGCGAAGCGTTTGTGGTTGAATTTTACCTTATATTGAAGCTTATATTACGTATAATACCATACCTAGCATATATATGTTGGGAAATTGATCATTTTGTAATTAATTTAAAAGTGATATTTTTAGGCGATTTTTCATTTGTAAGAATATTCTTAAAAAATTATCGTGTTACCATAACAACTGCTATAGATACTTCATGTTCGGAAAATATAATGGTTTTGTCAGCAAGGCGAGGGTTTCTGCATGCATGTATTTTCTAGTTCAAGCCTTGCGTGTGCAAGAATAGTGAATACTACCTTCCCCTGCAGAAATTGTACTGTGCTATTGTTTTTTAAGTAGCAAAATTTCGTATTCATTCTATCTGTACAAAATATCTACTACAATTAAAGATTTACTAAACAAATAATATTGCCAGAGTTTATATAGGAAGTTTTCACACGATGTACAATTTGACACACTATATACCTAGAATATGACTATATGAACCAAGAGCCTCGGGCACTGTAGTATTCTCCCGTACTCGAACAAACAATAAAATTAGTTGAGGTTGCAAATGAGTTCGCCAGAAGTAACGATAACCGAAAACGTATATTTGGAACTTTAATAGACCTTTCCCCTTATAACTAAAATTTTGATCTAGACAAGTCTAGACAAAAATTTCATCACAGCTTGAAAGAGCATCACAAAATTAGTAATATTCCAAAGTTTCGTTGCGAAATGTTGTAAAATGCGGATAATATAGCCCTGCGAAATTTGCAATTTTCAGTCATTTTATATTACAAACGCGAAATGGATGCCCCAACACCCGATTGGACTGTCAATACAAAATGACTGAAAAACGGCAAATTTCGCAAGGCTATATTATCCGCATTTTACAACATTTCGCAACGAAACTTTGGAATATTACTAATTTTGTGATGCTCTTTCAAGTTGTGATGAATTTTTTGTCTAGATCAAAATTTTAGTTATAAGGGGAAAGGTCCAATGAAATCAGACATCGTTCCTGATAAACAAAAGGGGGATTAAAGTCCTAGAAACATTGTCATTGTCAAAATTTTGAGAATTCTAATGCTTCCTGCATGAACGCGCTGGCCCATGCAGTTAGCCTATATATGACTTAACGCAAAATTTTATATCCGATTCGTTACAAAGCACCGGACTTGGGGCGGAGGAGGGGCGGAGGAAAATTTTATATCCGATTCGTTACAAAGCACCGGACTTGGGGCGGAGGAGGGGCGGAGTGTGGCATCACCATTAGCATAGAATGAGGTGGCGCATTATCATTAACATACCTCCACATTAATTGACATACCTCCACATTAATTAATTTGTGGTGGTGGCGTGTGGTGGTGAAGTGTGGAGTGTGGTGGTGGCGCATCATTAAAAATTCAGGTCACTGTTAATGTTGTTGCTATGCGTTGTTGCTATGCGTTGCTGCTAGGTACAGAAACCACAGCAAATAATATAAAGTTTCTCAAAGATATAGCACACTGCTTATGTTACTTTAAACCAAATGGGGCAAAAACGATGGTTTTCCAAGCATATTTTCAAAGTAAAGTTTTAAATATATAGATTTTATTGATAGAAACGTAAATATTCTGATGACAGCGTTGTCAGGTAATCTCCACGCGTATAACACAAAGGTTGAGGTAATTAAGGGGATTAAGGCAATACGAATTTGCATAACCAATAGGATCCTAATGGATATAAATGGATATTATTACGGGAGGTCGTGGGCATGTTCGGGCGAAGAGTCAATACTTTCGCTGAGCTCAGCAATTTTTCGCGTCCCACGCCATCAAATGACAATAGCTAGGCGTCCGTATAAATTTCGGGAGCGTTCAAGGAAAAACAATGAAAGAAGAAGTGAAGAAGTTCTAGCATTGTTTTTATCAACATTATCGTTTAAGTGTCCAATTATATCTTCAACGCGCCAATGTCTCGGAGATGATCTTTCCTTGCTGTCCATGGTTGGAATGACCATGTGAATTAATGATGATTATTTTACACTAATTCTGCAAGGCCCTCTAAAAGTGGCACAAGTACCAATCCTATAAAACCTCTCCCGAACAAGAATTTTCCTTTTCTTTCTAAAATTCCTACTTCTGTCCACTAAGTCAGCGAGATCGTCTTTAAATGGTCCAAGTTTGTTCAATGTTTCTTTAGGATATGTAAAGTTTTCCAAGCAATTACATAGAAAGCGAATCTGTTCATGAGATGCAGAATTCAACAGAGCTTGCTGTTGAATTGGATGAGAAATACACAAGAGCTCCACAAACGGTCTGTGTTTGATATAACTGCTAGTCATCTCTGTTCGGCGGTCAACAATGGAATGAAGACTTAGTTGGAAATAACACATATATAAGGATCGGCTCTCCCTCTATAGAACTAGGCCTAGACTATAGTCTTAATAGTCTTTACTATAGTCTTCATAGTCATGACTATAGTCTTAATAGTCATGACTATAGTCTTAATAGTCATGACAATAGTCTTAAATAGTCATCACCATAGTCTTAATAGTCATGACTATAGTCTTAATAGTCATGACTATAATCTTAATAGTCTTCACCATAGTCTTAATAGTCATAACTATGGTCTTAATAGTCATGACTATAGTCTTAGTAGTCTACCATAGTCTTAATAGTCATGACTATAATCTTAATAGTCACGACTATAGTCTTAGTAGTCTTTACTATAGTCTTAACAGTCTTTTCTATAGTCTTCATAGTCATGAATATAGTCTTAATAGTCATGACTATAGTCTTAATAGTCATGACAATAGTCTTAATAGTCATCACCACAGTCTTCATAGTCATGACTATAGTCTTCATAGTATAAGTCCACCTCCTCAACGTATCATCTGGTGTTATGGTCAATGGCAACCATCTTATTTTGACATGATGAGGACGATGCCTGGAATCGAGTTTAATCAAGGCATCCCGGACGATATCGACAACGCAGACTACTTGGACGTATCTCAACGGAATTTGATCGTATTGGACGACCTTATGGCTCAATCTGGTAAAGATAAACGTATTTCTGATCTTTTTACCAAAGGAAGCCATCATCGAAATTTGTCTATCATCTATATTGTCCAAAACATATTTCATCAGGGCAAAGAAATGAGAAATATCAGCCTTAATGCGCATTATATCGTGTTGTTCAAGTCACCAAGAGATAAACAGCAAATTTCTATGCTTGCCAGACAAGTAAATCCTGGAAGAGTTTATGAGGAGTTATGAAGATGCCACAAGCCGACCTCATGGGTACTTGATGTTGGATTTATTAAAGCCAACAACAGACGAGCATCAACGACTTAAGACCAACATACTACCAGGCGAAGCTGACGCGTTAGTCGAGTATGTACGAAAAAAGTCGTATCAACAACCACCACTTGTAAATACAATGTATGATGCCGAACAGAGAATGAAAGAAATCATGGAAGCACCACAGCTTACCACTGTGGAAAAAAGCAAATTATATTCTGATCAACTAAATCGGTTTCTGACATTCAAAAATAAGATGGATGTCCCGGCTCACTATCACGAAGCTCCTGTTCATAGAACTTCACTGGTGTCTCCTACTCCTGTATCTGCTGAGATAACACCACAAGTGCCTCCTACTTCTGTACCAGCGGAAATAACATCACCAGTGCCTGCTACTCCTAAACCTAATTTCCTTACGCCACCACTAACAAAGGAGGAACGACCAAAACTCAAGCGCAACTTTTTTCACAATTGGGTAGATTCTGCTGATTGGAAAAAAAGTGACTTGGCTATGATGGAACCGAAGGAAAGAGAGCGTTATGAACGTTTTTTACTAAACGAAAGACCGAAATATATTCCAATGAAGCATGAAGATGTTGCAAGATTAGCCGAATTCATATTAGAGACGGGAAACTCGTCTTAGACGGGAAACTCGTCTCAAACGGGAAACTCGTCTAATATGAATCCAGGCGCAGACGAGTTTCCCGTCTGAACTTTCCCGTCTAACTTACCCGTCTAAACAGACGGGAAAGTTAGACGGGAATCTCGTCTAGACGGGAAACTCGTCTTAAATTCGAATTTACCCGTCCCTAAATTCATACTCAGACGGGTTTTCGCAGACGAGTTTCCCGTCTAAGACGAGTTTCCCGTCCCTAATATGAATTCGGCTATTATCACCTGAAGACAGACAAGAATATGAGAACTCTTTAAAGATAACAAAAACACCTAAACGTTACGCTCTTAGAAGTAGACCGTACTACATTTTGTAAAACGTTTTGAAGAAATGTATTTTAAAACTGAAATCTTGTGCAAACTTTTGCCTAACCCGCCCGACTGATTAGTGTACAAATATGTTGTACATTAATACATGCATGCACCCAAGCGTTGCTAATCCATGACTGGTAACTCATAGCAACGTATATAACGCCCGCATGTTCGATAAAAACATTTTTTATGGCAAAATATATTACAACTGTTCTAAAAGTTTTTTCCTTCAAGTATTCTTGATAAGCTTTCATACGATCTGACTCTTGAATCGTTCACCGATCATCTTAACAGCAGATATGTATGTAGGAGGTTTGCTAAATAATGCTGCAGCAATCAACTCTAATGCGTCTTCTTGTTCCCAATACCAAAAATAGTTCAAGATACATTGTAGTTTATGGCTCTCAATTCGAATATTAGGCCATATTAAACGCCCCCGAAATTTATACGGACGCCTAGCTAATGTCATTTGATGGCGTGGGACACGAAAAAATTGTTGAGCTCAGCGAAAATATTGGCTCTTCGCCCGAACATGTCCACGACCGCCTGTAATAATATCCATTTATATCCATTAGGATCCTATTGGTTATGCAAATTCGTATTGCCTTAATCCCCTTAATTACCTCAACCTGAGTGTTATACGCGTGGGGTTACCTGACAACGCTGTCATCAAAATATTTACGTTTCTATCAATAAAATCTATATATTTAAACTTTACTTTGAAAATATGCTTGGAAAACCATCGTTTTTGCCCCATTTGGTTTAAAGTAACATAAGCAGTGTGCTATATCTTTGAGAAACTTTATATTATTTGCTGTGGTTTCTGCACCTAGCAGCAATGCATAGCAACAACATTAACAGTGACCGGAACTTTTAATGATGCGCCACCGCATTCTATGCTAATGATGATGCGCCACCACCACACTCCACACGTTACCACCACACGCCACCGCCACAAATTAATTAATGTGGAGGTATGTTAATTAGTGTGGAGGTATGTCAATGATAATGCGCCACCTCATTCTATGCTAATGATAATGCGCCACCTTGAATTTTTAATGCTGCGCCGCCCTGAATTTTTAATGCTGCGCCGCCCTGCCCTCCTCCGCCCCTCCTCCACCCCTCCTCCGCCCCTCCTCCGCCCCAAAAATCCGGGTCGAACGGCCCCTATATTACTACTCACCTGCCGTCCACTTATATTATTATATGTACAATTATATACACATAGTACACACGCACGCTCACAGACAAAACACACACAAACAGGTTACATACAAACGCTTAAAGATAGACTATTAAAACACACATTTATTTTCGATGTTCTCTGTGACAGGGATAGTCACGAACCAAGGACCAAGTACAGGATAGTTCAACATCATATACTGAGCGTAGAATAGAAGTTCTAAATATCTGCGTTTAAGAAAGTTTTTGAAAGAGATAGGGCTAGAAAATGTATCTAGATTGACATCTTGACATGCACTGTTCCACGGTTTGACAATACGGTTGAAATAAGATTGAAACGTAGCAGTTCTGCACATGGGAGTTTAAAGAATTACACCAATAGCTTGACAAGTCGAGTACGTCCATGTTGAATAAAAGAGACGCAATTGTTAATGTTAAGATCCACGTAACCAACGCCTTGAAGAAAAATACGAGATCTCTCTATCGTAGGAGAGTGGTAAGAGTTCCAACTTCAACAGGCGTTGCTTGTATGGGATTTCACAAGTCCCCGGTCTTAGAATCCATTTCGTGGCTCTTCGTTGAACTCTTTCAATCCTTTCACTGAGTTGTCTGTTGTGAGTTGGCGACCAAACTTGTGTTGCATAGCTGAGCTTCGACTTCACCAGCGAAAGATACAATGTACGTCGGATGTTGACGTCTGTTAGTGAGTAGCAAATCCTCTTAAGCACACCAAGCTGCCTGTTCACTTGCGAGACCATTTGGTTGATATGTAAGTTCTACTGTAGTTTGCTGGAGAAGGTTACGCCAACGTCTTTCTCGTCGTCAACTCTCAACAGCTCTTACGACCCGAGGTGGTAGGGAAAAGAAATTGGGGCCTTCTTGCGCGTCATCGACAATACTTTACACTTTGACCCGTTGAATTTAATGTTGTTATCCTGACTCCAAGTATCAAGGTTTGTTAAAGTTTGTTGCATTCACTCACTGTGTTATGTTCTTGTAAAGCTTGGTGTCGTCTGTAATTCGTTGTTGATGGCGTCAGAAGCATCGTTGATAAAAATAACGAACAACATTGGACCCAGGCTACTACCTTGCGGCACTCCGGATGTAACTGGGGTCCATTGGGATGCAGCACCGTCCACAACGACTCTCTGACGACGATTGTTCAGGTAATCAACGAACCAATTTAACAGCCTTCCCGTCATACTGTCGCATTTGAGTTCTTCAAGGAGAATGGAGTGATCTACGGAATCAAAGGCTTTCGCGATGTCGAGGTATACTATGTTAGTCTGTTCATTCTTATCAAGTATTTGTCCTATAGAATGAAGCACGGAGAGCAATTGTGTAACGCAGGAACGATTTCGTAGAAAACCGTGTTGATGTGGAGTGATGAGATGAAAGACGTGTTCGTAAAATTGGGAATACACGCAACGTTCCAAAACTTTGCTGACTATAGGAAGGAGAGAAATGGGACGATAGTTTTCTGCTGCTTCTTTCAGCTGATGTGCAGTGGAGTGATGTTCGCTGATTTCCATTCTAATGGCATTCGACTACATTACAGTGAATGGTTGAATAAGGTACATAGACTTGGTGCTATTTGTTGGGCGCATTCTTTCAATAGCCTAGACGGTAAACCACTATGGCCACTTGCTTTCGATGTACCCAGACCATGCAAACAGTTGGCAACTTCGTCCACACCAAATGCGATGTCAGATAGATTTAGTTCCGTTCTTATTGGAAGTGAATTGTCGCCAGTGTCCTCACCAATGTTTGATCGAGGAGAGGTAAAAACAGAGGAAAAGAACGCATTGAACAATTCAGCTTTATGGACTGGAGTTTTCGCCGCTACGCCTTTGTACGATATTTCCGACACTTTGCTTTCACGATGACGACATATTAATATGACCTTAAATTTAAATTTAAATGACAACAACAACAACAACAACACTTTATTTTCACTAAAATATATACAAATTTCTTTATGGCCCGCAAATAGCAAAAGATAATCTAGGCGGGCACAAAGTTCATTACAGCCTAAATAAATATGAATTTATTAATTAATTCTAGCAGGACAAACTTCAGTGATTAGAAACTACATTTTAATTAGTATTTTTGCATGTTTAATTTATTTCTCCGAAAGGGGGAGATGTTATGATTAATTACGTATGCACTGTTATTATTCTCATGTAGAACAAAAGGGTACAAGCTCACTTGATTTTGATTTTCGGTATGAATACAAACAGTGAATACAAACTGCTTCGGTAATTAGAAACTACATTTTGATTAGTAATATTATATGTTTAATTTATATCTCCGAAAGGGGGAGATGTTATGATTAATTATGTATGCATTGTAATTATTCTCATGTAAAGCAAAAGGTACAAGTTCACTTGATTTTGATTTCCAGTATAATACAAACTGTGAATACAAACTATTTCAGCAATTAGAAACTTACATTTTGATTACTAATATTATATGTTTAATTTATTTATCCGAAAGGGGGAGATGTATGATTAATTATGTATGCATTGTAATTATTCTCATGTATAGTCAGCTTCTCCTTGGTCGAGAATGTTGGAGGAAAACAAAAGGGTACAAGCTTACTTGATTTTGATTTTCAGTATGAATACGAACTGTGAGTACGCATTGCTTCAGTGATTGGGGACTACATTTTGGTTGGTAATGTTATATATTTAATTTATTTCTCCGAAAGGGGGAGATGTTATGATTAATTATGTATGCATTGTAATTATTATCATGTAAAACAAAAGGTACAAGCTCACTTGATTTTGATTTTCAGTATGAAAACAAACTGTGAATACAAACTACTGTACTTCAGTAATCAGAAACTACATTTTGATTAGTAATATTATGTTTAATTTATTTATCCGAAAGGGCTGTATGCACTGGCTATATGTTTATATATATAATTTATTTTCTGAAAGGGGAGATGTTATGATTATAAATATGTATGGATTGTAATTATTCTCATGTAAAACAAAAGGGTACAAGCTCACTTGATTTTAATTGTCAGTATGAATACAAACTGTGAATACAAACTACTTCAGTAATTAGACACTATATTTTAATTTAAGTATTATTGCAATGCATGTTTAATTTATTTCTCCGAAAGGGGGAGATGTTGTGATTAGTTATGTGTGCATTGTGATTATAGGAGTAAGGCCTGGGATATTGTTATTATAGTATAAAAGAGTTTTGAAAATACAAGTAAAACTATAGGTTAGTAAGTCCACTAATTTCCCGACGAAGGTACTTCCGCTCTAAATGTCGAAGTTTTACTTGTATTTTTAAGGTAGTTGAATCCCTCTCAATCTGCAACTTTAATTTCTGGTGTTGTCACTATATTTTAGTATATTTAGAATTTAACCGAGGTCGTAATGCACTAGCTAGAATTAAGATCGTTTCACGTTTTATAATCATTACAGATACCATATTATAATAAAATATCGCTCATTTGTCTTACTCATCGTTTTCTTCAACACAGTCTGTGCATACTCTATACTAGTTAATTTTATATTTAAGTTCTCGCGAAAAAAATTCTTTAAAACTGCTGCGGTGTTTATACAGTACATCAAGCCGCGGAACTATAGATATATCCTGTGCAAACACGTAGGAGCAAATTACGTTCGCTCGGCACTGAAAATTGAAGTGAGATGAGTAATAACTCCAATCCTGGCAAAAACTAATGAAACAACCAGTTTGATTAACAATTTAATTTATTCTTCCCCCCTTCCCCCCTTCAATGTTGATTAAGATGAGCAAGAAACCTACACATAGTGCTATCTGCTATCGATGAACTATTGTACACATTTTTTTAGAATCTATGTCCAACATTGTGCAGGGGGGAGGGGATTTTGTCTGTTTTATTGATTTTTTATAGGTGTTCATTAACATTTAGCCAAGATTGTCGGTTCAAAAAGGGCAAGGGAATTAACATATAATTAAGTTCAAAATGTATAAAATAAGTGGATATAGTCAGAATGTAATGGTGCTTGAAAAATGCATGGAAGATGTGGCTTTTACCAATTATATAAGAGTATTTTTTAATGGTAAAGTACCTGGCAGTTTTTAGCCTAATTGTTAGTTCTAAAATATTTCAACATTCTTAGGTTACTTACTAGTTCTCGCGCAACTCTGAAGGACATTTGTATTCCTCTCTGTCGCTTTCATTAACACTCGAAAATCACGATTGACTGCTGCAAATAGATTGGCCTCGTGCGGCAAGGCAATACGAACTTCGAAACTTGCATATATCTAAATAAAAAAGAATTATTGATAGATTTTTGCAGATGGAAGTTTCGAGTCTGATTATACGTTTTAGACCTGCAGGATGAACTGAGAAAATTGCAACTATAGGCCCTCAATCGAATCCTGTATATTCAATTTCGTGTATACTAGCTATATATAAGGTGATGGAGCATCTCACTCGATATATATTTGTTGACACGAGTTAGTCAGAACCGCTGCTGATTGGCAGGGCTGCTGGAGAGGGGGGGGGCAAATTGCCCCGGGCACCCACCTTAATAGGGCCCCAACTTGAGTGCGCAAGCCTAAAATTGAGTAGGTTCTTTAAATTGGTCAGAGCATGCAGTTTAGCTAAGGTTTAGTTGGGTGAGTGACTTGGGTCTAGCTTAAAAATGACGATGTCATATATAGGGTCCCCCAGAGAAGATTTGCCCCGGGCCCCGCGAATTCTCTCGGCGGCCCTGTCGATTGAGAGTGATATGACCACCTAAAAATACAAGCAGAACTTCGACAGAAGGCCCTTTGTCGGCAAGTTGGTAGCGCGAGTCGGGCAACCACGCTATAACTTCCCGACGAAGGGCTTTCGCCCGGAACGTTGACGTTCTGCTTGTATGTTTCAGGTAGTTGTATCTCTCTCAATCCGCAGGTATCACTGGCACAGGACCGTTCGAGTTAGTCAAAACCTTCCATCTTCGCTCGTAACGTCGAAATTCAGCTTATATTTTTCAGCTGATCCTTCAATGTACCTATATGTCTATCAGACCGCAACAGTCTGTTATCGTGTCTACCTATACACTGGCACCGACCGTTCGAGATATACTAAGGATAAAAAATTAAAAAAAAGATACACCAAAAGATAAAAAAAAGATACACCAAGTTAAAAAAATTTTCTTAAAAGATACACCAAATCTAGCTACGTCGCGGATGTGACGAAAAACTGCCTCATGGGTAAAAACTATGGATTGTTGTTGGTAAACAAAGCCAGGGACACGAGAAAAACAAAGTAAAACTAGTCTCCAATTATTAGCGACTGTTTTTTAGTCGCGTCCGCGTCGCAGATTTGGTGCATCTTATAAAGCTCCCTATATATTTGTTGCCTATAGCACGCCGCAAAAACAAAAAAGATGTCATTATTTTGTTCGTATCACGAGCTCACATACTTACATCTTCCAGTTCAACCCACTTGTCCTGAACTTCAAGCCATACTGTTAGAACCGCTTCAATAGTTTGAAGTTGTTTTTGCCATTTTTGAATTTCATCAGTAAATGAACTGGCCGCAGTTCCGCATAACATGCTTTGAAGGGAAACCTGCACAGTAAAAATATTTAATAATTATACCATGAGCTCGAGTCGTATATGAGCTGATAGCCGACGAGGTGCGTAGCACCGAGTCGGCTATCATCCATATACGACGAGAGCGAAACGTTTTATAATATAGTCTAATAGCCATTAACTGAAGCAATAATTAATTATCCTCTGTTACAATGTCTTGACAATTTGTTCGGCCAAAAACCGCTTGGCCTTGAAAATTTGAAATACTTTGTACAACTCGAAGACGAAGTGAAAGAAATGGTTTTAGAACCGGTATATCTCACAGAAAAGCTCAGATATATTATACAGATGTTTGGTAGTATAGTAAGTGCTTGTTGACTGCAAATTCATTTGTCTTTCGTTGCAAACTTTTTTGTTTCGCAAAACTCATGTAGTTTTTGAACCGCCATCTTGTTTTTCGCTACTCGCCGCATATGAGCTGATATACGGCGAGTAATTCAACCAATCAGATTGCAGAACAGCTCATATACGGTGAATGACTATATTATAATATTATATATACTTAACTATGAAATACATATTACCTAAATTATCACAGGTAATGTACAACGAACGTAGTTTCACATAAAGATTTGTCTGTTGTTTAACGGGAAAGGCTTCATGATATCGATTATAACAACAAAATTGCACAGAAATTAGTATTACATAGAAAAGTTGCTATAGAACATGATCGTGGACTCGCATTTTGCAAATAGGCGGGAATTTTATTCAAAATAGTGAAAAATAAACAAGAAAACAAAGAAAAATCAGAGAAGAAGGCCGTTTTCCTTGAGATGTGTATACGTTAAACCAAAGTGTAACTGTTTGGCAATTATATATCATGTTTCTCCCGTGCAAAAATATATTCTGCGTGTTCTTGCAAAAACACCAAAGCGATAGCGTTTGAAGAGTTTATAATTGTCAGGAAACATTCACAGGCAAGATAGCGATTGAAAATCCCAGGTAAGTGTTACTTTTCATTATTGTTTTATTGAAAAATGTTGTTCACTCCTATACAAGCGCCATTTTTAACTACGTTTTGAGAGGTTAACAATACCCTAGAGCATTAGTTAACTTTAACAACTTTTTAACTGCAGTTAACGCTAACTACATTTTTATACAACCAACTTAACTATGTGGTCAAAGTTAACCACTATTTAACTACAAAACGGGTAGTTAAAAAGTAAGCTTTATACAACCGGCCAACCCGGTACAAGTCTGCATGCACAATCTACAGTATGCATGCTCTGTGCAAGCTCATCTTAGCTGTCAATTTAATTTGTGGCCGCAATTTCTGATCTGTTTAAATTTATCATTTGTTGTCATTTTATGGGACTCCTCAACATATTTTCAAATTGCCAATTTTTCATTTTATCCTCCAATAGCTGATTTCTCACCAAATAGAAAACGAAAGCAGTGCTATTTCGAAAGAGTGCAGATGCATTTACGGACAAATTCACTACACAAGTCACCTTTCAATGAGGACTTGCAATCATGAAGTTTAATTCAGGCACATGCCGAAACAGCTGGGAATCTTTCTTCGCGACTTCGCCATTTTCAAAAGCCAAAACATCGGCGGTGCATTACTGCGTTAAAATCGACGCTCATTAGCCAATCAAATTGAGTGTTATATTCCTCTTACGTAGTTATTAAATATAATATACAATACGGCCGTTTAAATTTACTCATATAACAGTGCAAAAACTAATCGGTTCTTTGAACTACATTTAGCATAATTTATTTAGACTATTGGTAGTTAGCAACATGTTCTTTCATGGTCATTTCATCCTGGCTCAGTACATGTAGCTACATGGAATACGCTATTATATAACTCTCAACAAAAAGTTTGAAAAATGTAAAAATTAAAAACATACCTGGTGGGACTCCAGTTCTTCAAAAATGGGATCACAGTTTGTCAGCAAACAAAGCGGACCAGAATCCTATACACAAAATAATCAGTCAAAAAGAAACAAACAAATTCCATTGCTGTTGAAACAATTATTGACGTTTACCTGTGTCAAGTTCATAAGGGATTGTGAGAACGCCCCAGATGCGAGTGAAGGTGTTGTTCTACGCGTTTTGCTTTCTTTATGACTTAATCCACCACTGCCGTAACTTGCCACTGAGTATCTACCAGATAAACCCCGATGTCCGGCATGACCTTGAGCTTCAGAGTCTATCTCGCTTGCACTCACCTAAATGAAATTGCAATTTGCACCTGCGAATAGAATATCTCTAAAATAAGATGTTTGGATCAAAAATAAGTGGGGTTTTTTTCTGATTACCTCATTATATAAAGGTATTTTATGTTATCTAATATAACTGTATGATTTCGTCAGTGTGTCCATCTGAAACAAGATCTAGATAAAGGGCTCTAAAGAGGCTCTAGAGTCAAGACTGAGTACACCGGAAGGGTGTATTCGGTTAGATTCGACTGCCAAGCAACCTCTCCAATCCGCGATTTTTATTTCCCTCCCCAAATCGGGTGGGATTCAGGCGAATTTGCTCATCAATAGACTGACACCGATATTAATATATCTTACAATAAAGACTGACATGCCCACAGTGCTCTCTATTTCAAAATAGAAAAGATAACTTCATAAACCAGGTGCCTCGATACAGCTTTCAATAAATTCCAAAAAAGTTTCTTCTTCAATCGTGTTCTAGTAACACACGATTGAAATTGTTACTACCCCGTGAAAATGGACGAATTTTAAACTGCACAAAAAGAACTTGTAATTTAGGATGCGAGGGAATTTAACCGCTGCGAATTCATAACTAAGCAAAACTTAATAATTGCAATGCGAGATTATTTAAAGCAAATTTTAGATAAAAGTCAAACCTCTTGATTTCCTGTAACCATTGCCGCTGAGGAAACTCTTGCTTTTTTGTAGCGTTTCAGTTCAAAGACTTTACTTAGCCAAACTTCTTCGTACGTTTTGAGTGAACTTTCAATAGCAACGTCTTTTGTCGCTTTCTGGATGATCGTGCGTACTTCGTCTGTGTGATCTATATAAGTGCGAGAAAATTATACAAAATACACTATATTATGTGATAAAACGAACACTCTTTCTTCCGCAGAGGTTCCATGTCGGCGCGCCTATTGCCGTTTCACCGCCCTCTATATAAGCGCCCTGCCCAAGGGGGAGTAGTTAAAGTATCAAAATACATATTTTTCCATCAGTTTTCCGTGATTTTTATGCGATAAACCGCTGAGGAGTGTGTTTGTGGGCACATGAGATGACACTCGTCAGCGATTCCTCACACAAAAATACGGAAAATCACGGTAAACTCATGGAAAATGCACGGAAACCACTGCGGAGGTTTGCGTTGCCTCTTATCACACATTGCCTCTTAACTTCTATTAAATAATATTTCGCAGACCCCCCCCCCTGTATAAATATTAGACAGATTTACATCGAGGACGCGGACGTCAAAGACGACGTGAAAATGGCGTCAAATGGCGTGGCATATCCATACATGGGCACAACACGCCATTTTCGCGTCGTCGTTGACGTCAGGTCCTCAATCTAAATCTGTCTAATAAAAATATCGCATTTTTCCACACGTCGAATACAATTAAATAACACGTTATGAACTATAATAACACATGGCAAAATCTTTGTAAATAACTACTATGTAATGTGGGCGAATTAAATTAATAACTAAGTAAATAAAGAACTACAAATAAATAAAAGGGTTTTCCGCCGTGTTTGGCC